AAAAAAAATCTAGAATATTCCACCCAGACACAGTACGGTTCTAGAACATTCTAAGTGACCCGGAAGTGGTAAATAAGTCGTATGCGACAGTATAGTTGATTTGTCACCGAGTAATAGATTCCAAAATCAATAGAAGCAAGAGTTGTTTTCGCTTTCAAACTCTTTGAATGAAAATATGGTAATCTTATCTATATTCTGGGAATAAATAGCATTCCAACCATTCGCCATTGGACCGCTAGTCACCCACTGGCAGTCATTCTGGTGAATACTTGTGAACCATAAGAGGTATACACTGTGCATAATTGTGAATTTCATGGTGCTCGTCTATTTGTTGAATTAAAATATTGTGATACAGACGCCATGCAGAAATAATTACTTAGTATATGGTCACGATGTTCGTTATTTGTAATTTATAGATAAGTTTAAAACGGTGCACAGTTCTGCAAACTGAGATGTATAATTGTATATAGACTGGCACAGTCGTGGAAATTTCACTGTTTTATATGATAAATCCTTAGAACAAGTTTGTACAAACTCTCGAGTTTACGCGAAATGTGGTAATTTCTCATCGAACCAAGATAAGAAAGAATTGTAAATTGTCACGGCTGGGTCAGTCTAGATGTATAGTACATATATAGTTAACGTAATACATATATACCTTTACAGTTCCACTCATCGCTGCCATCACGACAATGTTCATATTCATCGCATTCTAAATATGCAGCAATGCACCATTCGTCTCGTTTACAATTAAAGTCGTTTATACCGCAGACTGAAAAAAGTGAACACATCATCGTAACTTTTGAAAAATTGTATCAGCGAACACAAATGTAATACTTATTTAACCAGTACAAGTATGACCAACAGTACAGTTGATCATAATAACGAAGTATGGGGGTCTAGGTTTCTTCTATACAGAACCTCGGTGATAGGCAAATAATAATAATCTTTCTGTTTATTTCGATAATGCGAAATGACTCATTTGTTGTAATAAACAAATGTAACGAATGCAAACACAAATATTGTCAATACAGTGTACACCCAAGTATGTAACGAATGCAAACACAAATATTGTCAATACAGTGTACACCCAAGTATGTAACGAATGCAAACACAAATATTGTCAATACAGTGTACACCCAAGTATGTAACGAAAAAATATCATTGTAAAACTGACAACAACGATTAGAACAAGTGTGTAGTTGTTCGTTAATTGTACCGCAGACAGAAGGGTTTAACACTACCATGTCGATTTCAGACACGGGTAGGCTTATGACTTACATTCTATTGTCCTGGCGTAAGCAGCGTACACTATTTTGAAACCTTCATAATTCCCTCCATCTTCGTGGAAATGCGTGTAAAAATAAATATCTAATGCGCCATCAGACGACTGGAAATTACCACTGCTACCCGAACATAGTGTTGCATAAGTTAGCCCGGTTACTGGATCATAGATGACAAGCGAATCATCGTATTCTGGGTCACAGTCGTCTGTAATTAAAGAAATATTATAACAACAATGTATTATAGAAATATTGACCCGAGCGAAGGTCGATATACAGATATACAAGGCGAAGCATATAGCGACCGAAGCTATTATACCAAATACAGCGCGCGCACAACCAAAACAGAGCCAGCACATACCCAGCAAATTACACTGGGTCACGCGGACCTAAATATAACAAAAATAGTAATACTACTTTTTTAGATCAATCATAACTGCTCAAGCGCAATACCCTAATTTTACGTCTTTGACCTCCGAGAAGTCAATACACAAATATATTGACCACCAAATGCGCGAATCTGATTGGCTGATAGGGCTCTGAGGTATAATAATATATTATATTAACCGAATCGGAACGCAACACACTCAACTGATTTGTAAAATAATATAAACTGCCAGGAACAACGCACGTGTCACTTACCGGACAACGACGGTCTGAGGTCAAGTGACTCGATGTCAATGTGAATCATTTCATTGAGTTGTGGGTCACTCTGTATTCTCATTACACATAAGTTGTCTTCATTTGGGTAATTTTCATCGTCATCATAACCAGAATGTGACACAATTAACCCACCTCTGTCAGTAACAATTCTACGAATATCATTACAAACTACAATAAATGAAATAAAATACAAGTGTATTTTGAGTCAGATATCCAGGTATATATTTCAAATACTAGGTTTTTATATTTTATCTACTGGGCTGTTATATTCAAATCAGTTTGCTGATATCTTTCACATACTATGTTTTTATATGCTATCTACTGGGCTGTTATATTCAAATCAATTTGCTGATATCTTTCACATATTAGGTTTTTATATGCTATCTACTGGGCTGTTATATTCAAATCAGTTTGCTGAAATCTTTCACATACTATATTTTTATATGCTATCCACTGGGCTGTTATATTCAAATCAGTTTGCTGATATCTTTTACATACTAGGTTATTATATTCTATCTACTGGGCTGTTATATTCAAATCAGTTTGCTGATATCTTTCACATACTAGGTTATTATATTCTATCTACTGGGCTGTTATATTCAAATCAGTTTGCTGATATCTTTCACATACTAGGTTATTATATGCTATCTACTGGGTTGTTATATTCAAATCAGTTTGCTGATATCTTTCACATACTAGGTTATTATATTCTATCTACTGGGCTGTTATATTCAAATCAGTTTGCTGATATCTTTCACATACTAGGTTATTATATTCTATCTACTGGGCTGTTATATTCAAATCAGTTTGCTGATATCTTTCACATACTAGGTTATTATATTCTATCTACTGGACTGTTATATTCAAATCAGTTTGCTGATATCTTTCACATACTAGTTTTTATATGCTATCTACTGGGCT